GTCATGTGAGGTTTACACTGATTATCGCAGCTTACAACATTTGTTCAAGCAAAGAGAACTCAAGTTGAGGCAGCGTTATGGCTTGAGTTACTGAAGGATTATGACATCACCATTCTTTATCACCCGAGCAAGGCAAATATGGTCGCGGATGCCTTAAGCAGGAAGGCAGAGAGTATAGGTAGCTTGGCATTCATTTCAGCAAAGGAGAGGCCACTAGCTTTCGACATTCAGTCCTTGGCTAACAGACTTGTGAGGTTGGATATTTCAGAGCCTAGCTGAGTTCTTGCATGTTGTTGTTGCCCAGTCTTCATTATTGGGGCAGATTAGGGCTTGGCAGTTTGACAATCCGCATTTTGTAGTTCTTAGAGAGTCTGTACTACATGGTAGTGCCAAGGAGTTTTCTATTGGCGAGGATGGTGTTCTACGACTCCAGGGTCGCCTATGTGTTTCTAATGTCGATGGCTTTTGGAAGAGGATTCTAGAGGAGGCACACAGTTCTCGGTATTCTATTCATCCAGGTGCTACCAAGATGTATCGTGACCTGAGACAACATTATTGGTGGCAGCGAATGAAGAAAGACATAATTAAGTATGTGGCTAGATGCTTAAATTGCCAGGGGGCCTACTTCAGCAGATGACCATACCTAAGTGGAAATGGGAGCACATTACTATGGACTTCATAGTTGGATTGCCGCGGACCTTGCGGAAGTTTGATGCAGTTTGGGTCATTGTCGACAGATTGACCAAGTCGGCACACTTCATTCCGGTTGTGACAACATATACTTCAGCGAAGTTGGCCTAGATTTATATTCAGGAGATAGTTGGGTTGTACGGTGTGCCTATTTCCATAATATCAGATAGAGGCCCTCAATTCACTTCACACTTCAGAAAAGCCTTACAGAGTGAGTTGGGGACTCGTGTAGAGCTCAGGATAGCATTTCATACACAGACCGACGGACAGTCAGAGCAGACAGTTCAGATCTTGGAGGACATGCTCAGATCATGTGTGATTGACTTTGGAGGGCAGTGAGATCAGTTCTTGCCTTTGGCTGAGTTTACTTTAAACAACAGTTATCAGTCCAGCATTGAGATGGCTCCATTTGAGGCTTTATATGTTCGGCGATATCGTTCTCCCATAAGGTGGTTTGAGCCAGGCGAGGCTAAGTTATATGGTACAGATTTGGTGAAAGATGCCTTGGAAAAGGTAAAGTTGATCCAAGAGAAACTTCGCACAGCATAGTCCAGATAGAAGAGTTTCGCGGGATGTATTATTTATGGTCGCCAAGAAGGTTATCCTAAAAGTCTCGCCGATGAAGGGTATTATGAGATTCGCGAAGAAGGGCAAGTTGAGCCCCATGTTTATAGGCCCATTTGAGGTGTTGAGGCGAGTTGGGGAGGTTTCTTATGAGAATGCTTTACCTCCCAACTTATCAGGAGTTCATCCGAATTTTCTCGTGTTTATGCTCCGGAAGTACCACGCTGACTTGTCACATGTGTTAGACTACAGCACTATTCAGCTAAATGAGAGCTTGGGTTATGAGGAGGAGCCAATTTCTATTGTTGATAGACAGGATCTCCAGTTGAGATCCCAGAAAATTTCCATGGTAAAGGTTCAGTGGAGGGGCCAACCAGTCCAGGAGGCGACTTGGGAGTCCAAGGAGGACATGCGGAGCAGATACCCACACTTATTCTAAACTTCAGGTATGAATCTAAACTCGTTCGAGGAAGAACGTTTGATTAAGAGGTGGAGAATGTAACGACCCGACTGGTTGTTTTGTTTTTAGAACCCCGTTTCCCAAAATAAGACTTCCCGTACTTGCTTTTACTGATTTATGACTTGCGGGGAAGGTTGGTTCAGGATTTGGAAGAGTTTGGGTTGAAATCGGAACAATTGGTTCCTTAAGGTTGGCTTAAAAGGCCAAGTTTGACTTCAGTCAACATTTTGAGTAAACGACCTCAAAATCGGGATTTAAGGGTTTCAACAGGTTTGTATAATGATTTCGGATTTGGCGTATGCTCGGATCGTGTTTTGGGTGACCCGGGAACATTTTTGGCGCCTAATAGTGAAAGTTGGTTCTTGAAGGTTTTGGGAAGTTCTTTAAATATGGTATGGAGCGGGTTTTTGTGATATCGAGGTCCGAACAAATTTCGAGACCAGGAATAGTTCTGTATTTTTAGTTAGGACTTGCACACAAAATTTGGTGTCATTCCGAGTAGTATAAGTACATTTCGGCGCATTGAAAGTAGATTGAAGAACTTGAAGTTCATAAGTTTGATTCAATTGGTATTAGGGTGTGATTCTTAGTTTTAATGTTCTTTCAGGTGTTCTGATAGTTTGAGCGAGTCCGTTTTATGATTCCAAACTTGTTGGTACATTCGGGCTGGACTCTGGGGGCCCCGAGCTTGAATTGAACGAGGCTCGGACCAAGTTAAAAATTTGAGCAAGAGTTGAAGCTCCAACTGTTGTCATAACCGCACCTGCGATTGGTCAGCCGCAGGTGCAAGCTCGCAGGTGCGGTTGGATCCTCGTAGATGCGGCCCAAGGAGAGGAGCCCAGGTTCCCCAGATGCGGTTCTTCTTCCGCAGGAGCGGTCCGCAGAAGTGAGTATCCGTCCGTAGGTACAACCCCAGCCAGCCCAGCCCAACATTGAAGAATCGGACCCTCGTCCGCAGAAGAGGGACCGCAGGTGCGATCAACGCACCTCAGGTGCGAAAATCGCTGGGGCAGTTCACTTCATTAAACACGGGAGTTAAGCATTTTTCTCCCATTCTTTACACATTTAGGCGATTGGGGAGCTCTCAAAGAGGAGATTTCAACTTAGCATTTTGAGGTGAGTAAATTCGACACAATGTAATTTAAATACATAGTTTATGAGTAGATTATAACACGTAAATTAGTGAAAATCACGGGTTTAAGTGAAAACCTAGGGTTTTGCTAAAAATGAGATTTAACTACGAAATTTGTTATAGAATTTAGTAGAAATCATATATTTATGTTCCTAAGGTTATGAGTAACAACTTCCTTTAAAAATTTCTAGAATTCGAGCATGTGGGTCTGGGGGTGAATTTGAGGAATCTTGCAATTTTTTTAAGGTTGGGTAATCACTTAAATGGTGGAATTGTGAACTTTTGAGCATAGATTGATTAGTTTATGTAATGTTTGACTAGTTTCGAGTCGTTCAACATTAAATTTGGAGATTTGGAGATTTGAATTGGAAAGTAGGCTTGAGACGAGGTAAGTCTCCTTTTTAACCTTGTAAGAGGAAATTAACCTCATAAGTGAATTAAATACATGTTTAAACCTATTTTTGGGGGCTACGTACGTACGAGATGATGAGAGTCCATACATAGCTACTAGTATGCTCTTGTCCGGGTAGTTTAGGATCCGTATCATGCTATAATTAGAATGTTGTGTCCTTACTTGCTAAACTAATCGCTTAAACCATGTTATAAATTCATAAAAGGATTGTATGAAGTTAAATTCACTTCCTTGAAGGTTTGTATGAAATACTTGACTGTAAATGAGAAATTGGTGCTTTCTTGAAAATAAATTGTTATTTGTGGATCGGGCCGAGCGCCTCAGTAGTAAATAGATGCATCTATGGTTCGCGCTGCTCGACCCTCTAGCAATGCACATTTTAACACGATGTTGGACCGGAATGTACCACCTCAGCATAATTGCACATGTTAATTATTTGGAATTCTCCGTGATTTATACTGCTTAAATGCTTTGAAATGTAAGTTGTTACATGATATGACTGAAATTGACATGTTATTTATGAAAGAATGTCTTATCTCTTTCTGTTATTGAACTGTTAGTATAATTCATGATATCTATGCCTAGCATAATACTTTAATTATATTATTGTTGGCCCTAGTAAGTGTCAAGTCGACCCTTCGTCACTACTTCTTCGAGGTTAGACTGGATATTTACTGGGTACATATTGTTTATGTACTCATACTTTGTTGTTGTACTTAATTGTACATGATCTAAGGCTGGTGCATCTAGTTATCCGCCAGGCGCACATACTTGAGCTTGGACTGAGACTTCACGGTGAGCTGCTCCCTTTCGAGCCATTCAGCAGCATGCTAGAGATTCTCTTTTGTTTATGCCTGTCAATTCTATTTCAGACAGTAGGATAGTCATCTTTTGTATATTCTGCTAGTTGCACATGCACTTGTGACACTAGATCTTGACACATATTAGTAGACTTGGGTTGTATTTATATGGTGATGATTTCTTCTATTGGTTTACGTTTTTCTTATCTTAAAAATCTGTTATTTATCAAATGCTTTGAATTTAAGTAAAGTTAGATGTTGGAATTGCTTAAATGAAAATGAGAATTCACTAGTTAATCGGTGTTGGCTTACCTAACAGCGGTATCGGGCGCCGTCACGACCTATAATAGAATTAGGGTCGTGACATTATCGTTATAATTAACTTAAGTTTGGTTTACATAATCAAATGTGGAAACATCATATCTCTAGATACGAAATAAAAATATTTTTACGAAAATTTTTATTTTTCTTTTTAAATTTAAAGCCAACATGTAATATTTGAACCCGGAAAGATAAATTACTAAGCACTTATCACAGGGGATAAGTCTTCCTATTTATTTTTCTACTAAATTTAGTGTACGTGCATTATACGTGTATTTTGCGTGTATAAAAAATATAATATATAATATAGAATAAGAATGAATTACAGATAATATTAATCATTGTCGAGATAAACGTAATATTCATTTAAATGGTAAAATGAATATTACGTTAATATAGTAATTGAACTCAAAGACTAATCCATCATCCATTTTTAGTATTGAATGGAATATCTTAGCTACATCAAACCACTTTTACTACTATTTTTCTATATATTAGAAGAGCAACAGTTTCGACATGTGTGCTTCAATTCTTTTCAACAAAGTCCGAGGGCATTTAGGTCATTTTATATGACCTCTATACGTGCCCTTTTTGAGTGCGTGTAGCTTTTAAGTTACTCCCACATATATGCATCCCTTTTTCTTCTCTTCTAATATATCGTATACAATAGAGTTACAGAGCTTACTCACAGCTTACTCAAATTTTTTACTGGCTTCTCAAATCTCTCCAACTTGCAGGTAAATTTCTTACTCTTCAAAATGAATTTTGTTGCTATCTATGTGTTGTTTCTCCTTTTTTTGTTCCAATTTGTTTCAAACCACATACAATTCTTTTTATATCAATGGTAAGATCACTAAGCAATGGAGGTTTACCTCAAATTCATGAAAATAAACTAAATTAAAGACAGATTTTGTCTATATTCAAGAAGATCCGGAAATTTTCGAGTTAGGATTTTGATGAATGAAATTGGGGGAATTTTTTTTTTTTTTGTGGAGATGAATTAAAATCAAGAGTTCGGCTTTGAATATTCAATTTCTTTCAAAACTTGTATTGCAAATGTTTGTCTTCTCGCTCTAAAGTGTAGCTACAACTACTTTTTTTTCCTCCTTTTTTCTTGGTTCTTCCTTCTGTTTGGGTCATTATTGTTAGTTTTGAAATTTAATGGTTCCTGATATCTTCTCCTCTCATTTTTTCATCTTTTTTTTCCCTTTGTATTCTTCGGCTAATTTTGAAGTTTAGTGATTAAAATTTTCCTTTTCGCTTGTCGGGTTATGTCGTGTCCAGATTGGAGAAATTTAAGTTCGACATTAAAGTCACCAGATAATTTTTCTTCATTTTATATTTTTGGGTGGTAGAATTGTGATAGATATAAATCGACTATTTGTGCCTCTTTTGGTGATGGGCATGAGCCAAACAAATATGAATGATTTAGAAAGAGTACAAATCTTAGTGTGCGATTTTTGTTTGACATCACCATTTGATTTTCATATAAAGGTAAATTTAGGGAAAATAAAAGCTGCAACGTTGTATCGACAAGTCGTTAAAATTGGTGATAAGACTTTTATAGTCATGTGTAATAGAATTAGCGTTTGAATTCGGATGATTTTTAAATATTCATGTATTCAGCTTGATTCTATTTTTTATCGTTTGGACTATCGTTGCCTTGATATTCTTATCCATTCAGTAAAAGCAAATCACAATTTATCCTTTGATCAAGCTTTTCAATTCAGTAATATATGCTAGATCTTTTTGTGTCATATGTTTTACTGCAGAATATTAGAAAATGGAAGTGTTATGATAAGTAAACCGACAACCCTTTATAGTTCGAATACGATAGTCGTGATTGATAAAGGCTGCTTGTACATGTTCTGAATAATGAACTATTTGCTACATATTTCCGTTGAAGGAGTTCTAGTGTATATTCTGCATATGAAATTGCACAATTGTATCATTATATTTCTTGCTCAAGTGCACTGAAACAGTTGAAATTCATTTTGAATCAAGAAACGATAAGTGTCCCTGGAAAAGACAGGGTAAGAGTAATATCCACAGTTGGTACTTATGAAGGCAAGTAAGTCAAGGTAAATAAATTCAATGTAGAATTTAGAAGGTAAACCTATTTGGCTCCGCTTTGTCACAAGCACGTTGAGGGTCAGAAGTTCAGGGAAATTTTTCTCTTGTATTTTTCCTTTTTTCTGGATTGTGTAGTATTTATAAGAATAGAGACACAATCGAAGTCTAAAAATAGTAGTAATAGTGATAGCAGGTTTTGAGTCTATGACCAAAGTAGGAACCGAAGGAATCAAGAATCAAATGGAGGACATTCAGGAGATAAGGGATGGGAGAGGAAGATGACAAATGAAGAGAGAATGTTGTGTATGTGGGTCCTGAATTCAGATCCCTTCTTCGGTACATTTTTATTATCTATTTGGCAGCATCTTTTATTTTTACTTTATCTTTTTTGGTTTTGTCTTCCTTATTTACTTTTATTGTACTCTTTGGAATTAGCTTAAACTTGTTAATACTAAACCAATGTTATTTCTTGTGATCATATCTTCAGCGCGTGAGTGCTCATTCAAAGTAAGTTTTTGAACATTCTATGTGATTTTCAATTGGTTCGAATGTTGGATTGTGGTTTTCAATTAATTACCTTTTAATTACTCAATTACTAGCTCTTCTAAGAAATTTTGTGATCCAAGAACTAAGGTTCGTCAAGTTATGTGAAATTAATTATTATATAGTTGATAAGCTTAATTGCTTCTGGTGGGTCAAACAGCCAGCATTTCTTACAACAAATCATGGTGGAAATATAATGGGCAATGTCGCATTGTAAATGTCAAACTGCTTACGGTTAGCATGTATGCCTAATCATTTGTAAGCTGCAGAAAAGAATGCCATGTTCTACATAGCTCTTGCACTTCATATCATTCGAGAAAGAAAAACTTGATTGTTTTGGTATTCATTCTTCATTCAGTGCATGTTCGGATATAAAGAGTAAACAATCTCTACTTTTAATGTACCATTATCTGCTTACCTGAAAGCTCTACATTGTACTTCTCCTTTGTTTTTTCTTGGAGCACCTAATTGAGAGTACCAAATCCGACAACTCAGATATGTACATGCCAGTGAATAGAAGTGAGAAAACTCCATTTAATTTATGCAGAGATGATATGTTTACTACGTTACTTCAGTTTGATTCCTTGCACAAGCTTAATGGTTATGGGAAAATTAACATGCTTGCTTGATTAGCTTCTGATTGTTACATGAATATCATTTATATTAGGGGCTAAATTCTATTTCTATCATATTTCTAACTTTTGCTAATTTACTACTTTGAAAGGGATGACTAAAGAGGATCCGCTGAAACCTTGTGAAACTTGTGATTGAAGACTAACCTTATGCAAATGACCTACTCATATATTCTAATCATGTTGGTTGTTGAATTGATTATGCTTTGAGCTCCCTCTAAATTACTTTCTTGAATTTACATATAAAGTTTAAACGAAAAATCTAGCTGATTGCAAGATAAAGATAGCTTTAAATCCACTAATTTATTGTTGCTTACCTCATCATCAATTATTTAGAATAGTGTCCTATTGGTGTAACTTCTATTGTTGGAGGTATTCTACATATGATGTACTTTATGATGCCATTATTAAGAATAACATTTAATCTAAATTTTATATTACCAATATGATCGTGAAATAGAGATAAATGGTAACCTCTATAATGTGAAGTATGATGAAGGAAGGTCTATTGAATTTTTCACTATTGTCGATGCCAGATAAATATTAAATGGAGATTTGGACGGTTATGGCTCTTGTTTGCCATATAATTTTAGGCGTTCAATATCTTGGCTCTAGCTTCTTTCATCCATGTTTCCTTTTCTGTTAACCTGAGTTTTACCTGAGCATTTTTCTATTATTACTTATTTTGCAATAGCCTCAAGCATTTGAATTGGCACATTTACTGGTTTCTCCTCCGCATGTTCTTTCCCTCTCTGTTTTTCTGTTCTTTTTTTATATTTATTTGAGGTCTTCTGAGTTAGATTCCATTACTGAATCTCTGTTTGTTTGATGATTGAGCTACTAAGAGTAGTTCTGTTCCAGTTCCATATTGGCACTGATGTGCTAGCAGACACCATTTTTGCTTTATTTTAACTTTCTTATTTGTATATTTCCTATGCGCTAATTTCATTCGAGAAAGAAAGATTTGATCGTGTCGGTATTCATTCTCCATTGCGTGCAGGTTGGACATATAAAGAGCAACGAATCTCCACATTGATGTGCCATCATCTGTTTATCTAAAAGCACTACGTTGTACTTCTTCTCTTTTTTTTTTTGAAGCACCTAATTGAGAATACTAAAACTGACATCTCAGAAGATAGGTACATTCCAAGGAATGTAAGTGAGAAGGTTATCAAAAAGGAATGCGAGTGAGAAAACATCATTTAATTTCTCTGAAGATGATGTTCAACTGAGAAGGTTATCAAAAAGGAATGCGAGTGAGAAAACATCATTTAATTTCTCTGAAGATGATGTTCAACTGAGAAGGTTATCAAAAAGGAATGCGAGTGAGAAAACATCATTTAATTTCTCTGAAGATGATGTTCAACTGAGAAGGTTATCAAAAAGGAATGCGAGTGAGAAAACATCATTTAATTTCTCTGAAGATGATGTTCACCACATTACTCAATTTGATTCCTTGCACAAACTTAACGTGACGTTAAAATCAACATGCTTCTTGCTTAGCATCTGATTATCACAGAGATATCACTTATGTTTGGGGCTGAATTCTCTTTCTAGAATATCTCTTACTTTTAGTGATTGGTGACTGTGCTAACTTCTTTTTGCTTAATCTTTCTCCCTTCTCCGGGTAATGGACTTAACTTGATTGATAAAGTTGCTCATTGTTCTTATTGTTTGCCCTTTTTATTAGTTTATACTTCTGTAGGAGACCTCTTGATTACTTAACATCCTTAGGGAATCATAGATTTACTAAAGTTGTAAACATTCTTCAATCTGCCCAACCAGTTCAAGGTTGTTAAGATTCTTAAAATGAAACAACAATAATTGAAATAGTATTAAGACACAACTGAATTATTCTATTTGTCTGGTTTTATAATATTGTTGAGTTCTTGATGCTTATATGTCTGCATTAGACTAATTTGTTTCATTTGTGTCGCAGTTACTTATATATACTCTTGATTTGTGATACAGGAATTGCTGCCTAGGAAGATTACTTTGTGGAAGTTAAAGGATATAAATTGCTTAATATAGGTGAAAAGTATAGCTTGAGTCAAAGTCGGGGATGCGGATTATTTGTATTCTCTCTAAAGAAATACTTCAAGCTAGAGGTGTATTCACTTAGAGCTAATTCGATACTTGTATCTTTCAGTGTTTATTGATTGGTTTGAAGATGTAGTTCCTCCTGAAATATTGTGCCTGAGCAAATGTGTGGCAAATGTCATTTTGCATGGCTATCCTCGGGGTGCAATTTGAAGAAGGAAGCAACTATCATTGTGCTTGTGAAATACCGATAAACTTATTTCACTTATGTATTTGTGAAATCATAGCTATTGTATTAGGTATTTATTGTTATATATGTTGTCTATCGCCATTTGGCAGTTGTTTACGTGCATATATTTTTGTTATCTGCCATTCTTATCAAAACAAAATTAATAAAATATAATATTTTCAACTTTTATAATATTGGGCCCGTGCTGACACGAGCTAACACTATCTAGTATATTAGAAGAGCTCGGGTTTCCACCTGGCTGCTTCGTGGTATTTATTAAAAGGTTGAGGGTATTTTTGACTTTTAGGCATTACTACTTATACCTATTTCGTATACGTGGCAGTGAATTATTTATACAAGCCCTACGTGTAAACTGGTTCTTTGTCCTTTGTTTCTCAGCAAGTTTCAAAAGTGAACTTTTAATTTCTATATGTATTCATCCGATTTGTGTTCTTGCTCTCAAGAATGTTTCTGCTCAAGCTGTAGGTATGTTCCTCTTTTGAGTTCTCTACGTCCTTAATTTCTCTACTCAATGGCCATATAAACCCTTCATCTTTAACCTCAAATTTTCTGCTTAGTAGAATCTCTACTTGGCTCTGCTATTTTCCATTTTCGATAAGCTTCAGCCACATGCAATAATTTTCCAGTGCTGATTTACTTTTCTCCAAGGCCTAAATGCTTCTCTATCTCAGCTCGATTGTGACACTGATCTAGGTATTAAGCTTAATTAAGAAGAATAAAATTTTGGGTATAGCCTCATGGTTCTTAATTAAATTTTGGAGTTGTTCACTTTGTCTTCTTCAATTCCCTTCCACTGTTGCTTTCTGTATTTTTTTGCCCAGATTTTGTTCTGTTTTCTCCTAATCCTTTTTTCCCTATTTGTAATCTTTTGGGTTCTGTCATACTTCCTGATTTTGTTGGCTTTCAATGTTTTCTTGATACTTTTTGATTTTATAATTTTATGGCTATTTTTGTTGTGATTCTCGGATCAATATGAAGATTATTTGGGAGGAAAAACAACTCTATTTCA